AAATGTTTTATTTGGCTGAATGGGCACAAATTCCCACAGGCACACTACAAAATCTTGTGGAAAGCCTTCCCAGATGACTAGAAGCTGTTAAAGCTGCAAAGGGAAAGCCAACTCCACAATAATGCCCATGGTTTTAGAATGGGGTTCCAACATGTTAATATACAGTCGGTGTGATGGTCAGGTGTCCCAATTAATGCCCATGGTTTTAGAATGGGGTGTTCAACATGTTCATATAGGTGTAATGGTGTGGCCAACATGCTCATATAGGTTGATGAGCAAATGTTCATATCCATGCCCATGGTTTTAGAATAGAATATCCAACATGCTCATATAGGGGTCAGGTTTCCTTACTAATGCCCATGGTTTTAGAATGGGGTGGCCAACATGCTCATATACGTTGATGATTAGGTCTCCATATTAATGCCCATGGTTTTAGAATAGGATATACAACATGCTCATATAGGTGTGATGGCCAGGTGTCCATAATAATCCCCATGGTTTTAGAATTTGTGGCCAATATGCTCATATAGGTGTGATGGCCAAGTGTCTTTACATGATAAGTGCAGCCGCAAAGGAACACAACATTCCTGATAATGAAGGGCTTACATTGACTCTCGCGGTAGCAGCAGGTGTTCAGTGATACGCATTGACTACCTGTAACAAGATTTGCATTTGCTTGGTGAGGCTAATTTGTAAATACCATTTTAAATATAACTGTCAGCACACTGATCCCTGGATAATGATGCTCTTTCCTTTGTAATGTCAGGGTGGGTGCGAATACACCTGAGCTGTGGCAGTCAGCGGACAGGTCCTCAGCAACTGTGTTCCGTTCAGTCAGATAAACAAAGTAATTTGGATCAAATTATTAAATTCTAATTTACAAATCAATGATATAAATACAGTGACACTGATTGAACAAAATATACAGGTTAGACCACAAGGGTTAAATTGAATTGTTTTCTTAAATGTGTGAGCAAATGCGTGCAAATGTTCTCTCACATGCATGATCACGACCCAAAATCTTACGTAGCTGAGTGTGCACTGATGTCAATGCGTACAGTGCATCCTAGTTTGTTGTGCATGGTCCAAAAAAAGTGATATAAAAACCAGTGTGCTGTGCTTTTGTATATAGGCAGCGTACGTATGAGTATTTATTGTAAGAATCTGTATTCCTAACACCAGCGTATGGAATCTTGTGGGTTGACCGGTGATTAAATTCTGGACATGTACAATGTCACAATTGCATATCAATGATATATCAATGTTGAACAGTTATAACAATGATATAGCAATGGCATATAGACTTGATAGCATTATATTTTCACTTTTGTACTATTCAACCAAAACTTAGCAGATTTTGTCAAGCAGAATACTTGATGAGTACCCAGCTATAGACGTGTAGCTATGTTGAGTGTATCAGTGCGGGCATAACAGCAGGACCTAGAAATCTCTATGACATCTTGGCTTGATCTCTGCAATGAATGGGAAAAGTGACAGGTTCTCTTGATAAGGCACCTCCCTCCCACTGATACTTACCTTTTGTATGTTCACCTTATTACCCCTTTTCGTATGGTAGCACCAAGTCTAATCCCTGTGTTGGTCTGTGCCAGAGTTAATAACATTCTTCCCTTCCCCATGTGAGAGTGTTCAGGTTTGGCCCTTGGTCGCCTATAGGTCCAAAGCATAATATACTGGGAGCAAGGGAAGCAGGTTACATGTCCCCCCCATACTTATTATTGAGTCTTTCTGAAGAGTGGTGGGGGAGCATAGAGAAGGTATCAGTGTGTGAGTTGAGGGGTGAAGATTGGGCGCCCAAGGTCACAAGGTCCCCCATAGCTGCCTGGTATATCAATAGTGCACAGATATAACAATGGTATATCAATATCAAACAGAAACAGTATAACAATGGCAGATAAGGAAAGGGGGCAGATAAGGAAAGTTCATGGTTGGGGTTTACAAAAATTGTAAGATTTTATATTACACGCAGTCCCCGGGTTAAAAACAAGATAGGGACTGTTGGTTTGTTCTTAAGTTCAATCTGTATGTAAGTTGGAAGATGTACATTTTTTTAGGTGTAACTCCAGCAAAAAAAAAAATAATTAGTTTTGGATAACATAGGGAAAGATTAACCCCCTCTGTAACATTAGTTTTGCTGTCCCCACAGTGGCTCTAATCCCACACCATACTAACCAAAACTAAAAAAAATGAAATTTGCATCAAGGTTTACTTTAAATGCATCTTGGACAGATGTTTGTACAGTTTCCTGTAATGTACAGTACCAGATCCGGAAGAAGAGGTAAGCACTCCTTGTTTGCACGTCTAATAACTTACTGTAATGTACAGGAGGTACAGTCAGGGCCAGATTTACTCTCTCTGCTGCTGCCCCAATGCAAGGTTCCTCAATGCGTCCCCCTGTATGCAGGATGCATACAAGTGATCTCGGCAAAATAGCCGAGATCACTTGTACAAAACAAACGGTGGCTTCCCTGCTGTACATTTAGCTCTGCTTGCCCAAAGCAGGGCTAAATCTAGAAAACAACTACCCACCCTGAGCCCGGAATGGCATGTCCTTGGCGTTGGGAGATAGGAATTCCACACCCTTGCTGCCCCTCTACTCCCTGCGTCCCCAAGGCCGGGCCTCGATTGGCCTTGTGGGAAATCCGGCCCTGGGTACAGTACTACGAACCAGACCCACTCCTCGTCTGTACGTCTAACAACAACATGTAATGTACAGGAGGTACAGTACTACGAACGTTGGCGCAAGCACGGTAGCATTACAACTGGTGGAACAGCCTGAGACCTCCGTTCATAATTACGAGTCGTATGTAACTCGGATGTTCGTAACTCGGGGACTGCCTGTACAACACACAGAAAAAAAAGTACAATGTGACAAGCAGCATAATTGCTCAACAGGGTATTTGATGCGCAGGATACCGGGCCAAAAAAGGAAGCGGCAGACATTACAATGTGTTTACAACCTTCCATAGATCAGTTCTGAATCTAATCCTTTATCTTCTGCATTGGACACCTCATTATTTATTACAGGTATTTAATAGAGCGCCAACAATTTACACAACGCTATACATACTGCATATTCACATCAGTCCCTACCCTCAAGGAGCTTACAATCTAAGGTCCCTATCTCACTTACACAGGAGCCAAATAACCTAGCAGCATGTCAACGGGGTGTTCTGATATCAATAACAAGAATAATATAACTTTAATACCATCGTCATTTATTATACACCAGTATAATGATTTAATAAACCGTCAGCTCAGTTAATCATTGAGAATCATGGTGTTGAACACTTTAATATTAGGAAATACATTTTCATTACATAGCCCGAAGGTTTATGCATTTAATCTCTTTGGCCGTGTGTAATTAGCGCAGAGGTGTTGAGAAAAGCGTTAGTTCCAGAGATGTAAGCGTGACAGTCATCCGCCCATTGTGTACTATATAAGGGGTAGGTTTTGGACACAACAGCAGCAGCATCTGAACTGACAGTCCAGAAAACAGAATGGAGAGGAATTGGCTGATCCTGTGTCTTCTCTCTATCACTGTCCATGTACACAGCGTCCCATTACAGGTAAGTATGGGGTGATTCCTTCTCTTAAAGGGAACCCAGGATGGTTTTGAACCAATGTTATTTTTATGTACTCCTGCGAGTTTTAAAAATGTTAGTTCTATCTATTTTTACTTATTTAATTTAATTTTTTAATTATTTTTAAAGTGGGTTTGGAGTGGGGTAGAGTTACAATTTCTGTCAGGTTTTATTTTCTGCATGTGACTCCAGTGGGACTTCCTGTCCCTGTGATGTCCTTACAAGAAATTAGGGGAGTGGTTGTCATCGGCTCAGGAAGGCACCGGTAGCAATAGAAATTCTCCCCCTGCCTCACTGTATTAAAAATGTGATTTCTAACAATTTTTGCTTTATAGAGATGTAATACAAACTGTTAGTTAAGTTGGGGTTTAATACACAACAAAGGATTCCCAACGCATTATGGGTTAGCTAAAGGGACAACCCAGCAGATAAAGCTTGCTTTGAGGCTCCATTTGTCTGATTGAAAAAAAATACTGATCCATCCCTTAAGGCAGAGGTGGGCAACTCTGGCTCTCCAGCTGTTGTGGAACTACAAGTCCCTTGAGGCATTGCCAGACTCCCAGAGCAAGATGCACAGGGCCGGTGCTAGACTATTCTACGCCCAAGACAAGCTACTTGCTTCCCCCAGCCCCCCTCACGCAGTGCAACCCCCAATCCCCCTCATGCGGCCCCGTTCCCCTTCCGGCTAGCTTCCACAGGCTACAGGTGGATGTAAGGAACAATAGCCAGACTGCTATTAGCTATTTTAATTTGAAAAAAACAATAGCAGACTAGCAATTAGCACCGGGCCTGCATGTGCAGTATTTGATTTGTAGTTAAAGCACAACTGGAGGACCGGAGTTGCCCACCCTTGCCTTAAGGGATGAAGCACTGCTGGGATGACCCATAGGTTCTGATTTACTAAAGTGTTGGGACTGTTCACTTAGCAAAATGTATTTTGGAACTCTGACTGGTCTGGTCTCCGCCCCCTCCTATAATAAAGACAGCTCACTGCTGCTCTCTCTCCTTGTGCAGGGTGACTGGTCTGGTCTCCGCCCACTCCTGTAATAAAGACCGGTCACTGCTGCTCTCTCTCCTTGTGCAGGGTGACTGGTCTGGTCTCCGCCCACTCCTGTAATAAAGACCGGTTACTGCTACTCTCCTTGTGCAGGGTGACTGGTCTGGTCTCTTCCCCCTCCTGTAGTTTTCTGTAGTGGGTGGGGCTTTTCGAGTCCCTCCCACAGGTCTGATCTCTGCACAGGCTACAGTATGTCCAGCACAGTGGAATATACTTGAAAGTCTTTGTTCCAGACATTCAGCTTTAAAATGTGTACTCATTTAAAATAACCCCGCAGCCTTCCCTTATTACAAAGAATGTTTCAGATTGCATTTCCAGTAATTACTTGCTTTATCTTTCAGCTGCCCGGTCTCCTACAAGTTCAGTTCCAAGGTAAGAAATCAATCAAATCGACCCTCTAAATTCCTTACAGTTAGAATTTCTTAGAAAATAGTTGAAAGTTCCAATTTACGAATTGTAGCAAACTCTATTCTTATATACTTTGGTACAAGTCACTGTCACTGTTAAAACAATATGTACGAAGGGTTACATTTTGCTTAAAGATATAGTCCATCTTAACATTATAAGAGAGTTGCAGTAAAGCATTGCAACCATAATCAATGGATGGTGGGTGCAATGATGTGGCTCCTGAAGATTCTTCCTCCCGTCCATGTCCATACAGAAGTATAAACATTCAGTAACAGGGAGGAAATATGAATGGAGATGTGGGGATGGGACTGTGTGGGGATGGGGGTGGGGGCAGTGGTGTAACTACAGCCATAGCAGCCCAGGCTGCTGCTATGGGGCCTGGGGGTAAAATAGGGGCCCCGTTAGGTTGTTGAGGCAAATTAAACATAGAACATGTAAAGATAATACAGTGCTGTATCATTAAGGGTTGGAGTGGTTGCAATTGACAACTCTAATCCCCTGTAATGTCTGCAGTGTAAAGACACCTTCAGATGCACAAGAGGAGTCTTTGGAATCTTTGGGCTCTGACAGTTTATTTAAGTTGGGGGGTGCAGATTGGGCCTCCAACACAAGTTCCCCCATACCTGGAAGTGTTGGTTAATTCTGAGCACGCTGACAGGTGAGGAGCAGTGGGGGAGCTTAGAGAAGGTATCAGTGTGTGGGTTGGGGGGGGGGGT